TTGAGCCGCCAACCTAGACAGCATAATTTTATGGAATGCTTTTGACACAAAGGCTGTTTCAAGCAGTGGGGATTTTGGCCATATTCTAGGGCAGAATCTCATAAAGTGTTCGTAAGGAATCAGTGTGTGTGTGTGTGGGGCGGGGGGGGGGGACACACAAAATTACAGAATCAGGAAAATTTTTGATAACAAATATCCTTCAGACAATATGCTATTTTAGAAAATGACTATTTTACTCAATATTTTGAGTGGTATGTATTTTTTGTGCTTAAGAGTATCACATTGTTTGCTTGATTTCAAAAGATTTCAAATTTGATTTCAAAAGAGTTTGGCATTAGCATGCTGAAGGTTAGGACTCTATACATGTAAAAAGGCAGTTCAGTGGCTTTTGGAACACTGTTATTTAAGTATTATTTATATACTATTGTAGTATTAATTAATTAATTAATTTTGAATTCGTTTTTATTTTTGTATGTTCAGTTTTCTTTTTAATTATTATTTAGCTTTATTTTATTTTATTTCCGTTTTAGCAATTTTGATACTTCAAATTAAACTTACTTTATTTCAGTTATTTGCCAAGGCAACAATTCTTTATTTCAATTAATGAAAACTATTTTTAATAATTTCAGTTAACAATAACACCTTTTAGAATGGAGTCAGTGAATGCAAAAGGAAAAGACTTATTCCCAAACCCCCTTACCTTTCTTTCTCAGCCATGACCTGTACAGGGCTGAGCTGGTTGCTCTTGTTGCCGGTGCCCAGCTGGCCGTAAGTGTTGGCCCCCCATGCATACAGTAGCCCCTCATCGGTCAGTGCTAGAGAATGAGCGTAACCTGATGCAATCTGTTAAAAAGTGACACAGTGACATGTTTTACTATTTTTCCACCCATTTACATTTTTAAAAAATCGATATGGTCACATGAGTTATGTGGAAAAATGATTTTCATTCAAACAATAATCTTACTGATCTCAATCATTTGAACGGTAGTATATATTACCATATTATTACATGTAGAACTAATAATCTAAGAACATGGCAGATCTTCTGTTTCGTACCTGCACCACACAGAAGCCTTGTAGCGCAATCAAACGGCACGGTGTCAGCTGGTTCCCATTGTTGCCTAACCCTAGCTGGCCGTTACCATTGTAACCCCAGCCATAAACCTGAAATGCACACATTTCACCACTAACAAACAAGCAACACAGCTACAGTGAGAAATACAGCAAGACACCACACAAGCTCTAAATAGTCACTAGTCAACACAATATTTTACAAAGCACGTTGCATATTTCCATAAACAGGAAGGTTATAAATGGTTAACTTCATCCCTTACCTCGCCATTATCCGCCACAGCCATGGATGAAGTCTGTCCACAGGCTATACTGACCATCACTTTGCTCTGCAGACAGTTGGACACCTTGCGGGGTGTGGGCTGGTTGGCGGTGGACCCTGAACCCACCTGACCACAGTTGTTGTAGCCCCACGCAAACACCTAGGACGACATACAATTAGCGGTCAAGTTAATTAGCAGGGACGTTAAGCTAAAAATATTCCTTTATAAAAACACACGCCAGCCAATGTTTTTGTGTGAGCTACAGCTAGAACTTTTAATGAAGCTGAATATGAATTATTACCACAGACAAACACAGAGTGCTACACCCGAGTTGATCTTAGTAGTCACAGTGAGAACAAAAGCCCTCACAGCTTAGCAAAAAAGGTCACATGCTCCTTATTACAGCGAGCACAACGAGGCTAAGCAGATAACTATACTTGCTAAACAGATGAGGAAAGAAAGGAGGGTTTTGTCAAACCTAAATCCACCTAA